GGGGCCGACTCAGGTCGATTAGTGGCGGTAAAGAGTTGCGCTCGGTCTGACCTGCTGCCGCCGACACCTGATGACCCGCCGGGTTCAAACACAAGCGCCGGCTCATCAACCGGCCCCAGGCATGCCATCATAGAGGTAGTGAGACCGGCGCTCTCGATAAATGAAAAAGCTCTGTTTATGGAGAAATATTCGCACATGAAAGAGCCTGTCTGTTAAATTCATTTCTCCAAAAAATGTGTTTTGACTTCTCTAATCTCTAACGCATTCAAAAATAACAATTTTTAACTGTTGTTTTTCTTACTTACTGTAACAGCAAAAATGATGCAAAACTGAGCTCCAGAATTCAGCTGAACACGACACATTTCCTGTCACTATATTTTGCTATGGTAGCACTAGTTCCCACTCATCCCTGGCCGGGTTATTTCACGTGGCCTCCAGGGTCCGCGGGGGCCCGGCCGTGTCAAGTCGTCTCCTCTCCACGGCTGCAGTTGCAGCTGTCCTCACATTACCTTCCCCAGTATTTACGACACCGCCCGAGCCAACCAGCTATGAAGAGACGGCCCACTGCGCTGCCGGCCGATGACGGCATAATGCTTGAAGTGGTGACGCGCTGGCGGCGCGCCATCTGCGGCGCGCCGGCGGCGGCGGCGCAGCCCGCGCGGCTCGCGCGCTGCCGCTGTGTGAGTGACGACCACGATAACGGCACGGTTCGTGATCGGCGGCCGGCCGTGACGCCGCCGAGCGCCGTCCGCCGGCCACGTCAGCGCGCAACAATTCGGGAAACGGGCTATTTTATGGAATTCCGGGCTGGTGCCGCCACCGTGACAAATGCTGGCCGGAGAGTTGTCGGACGGAGAGCGTCGGAGCGCCCACGCTGTTTGCTTAGCAGTGGTCATTTGCGTGGACATTGCGCGTGACTCGCATTTCGCTCCAGCTTACTTCTGTAGAAAGTTTAGACAGCCTGGAGGCGGATGCTTATAATGTAAGCACTGATACATCACCTCGGAGGAGACGTTTTTGACATTACTGGAGGAAATACATCCTTGTCTACATGTGGGATCAACTAAAATGCACTCTTATAGAACTATGATAAAAACGTTGTTATTATTTTGTGAATAGTAATTCCATTTTGTGACATATTTTTACTTTTTTTCAAATATAGCAGGTGTAAAGTGTTGTGCTGTATAATGACCCGGTAGCGTCATTTAATTAATCACAAAAGAAGCCCAAAGGCTTCCTTTGTGAACTCGGTCACAAGAAGTGAGCAAAGACATGCTACAATGACTCTAACAGGCGTAGGTATGTAATCCTAACAGACATGATCCAGACTGGAAGCGCTCGATCAGACGGGGTCCTTTTCGGACGGGAACTGTCTAAAATGTCTCACTCAGCTAGATAGGTGTCTGATAGATTAGGTATGGTAGAGAAGAGAGGTTCAATCGAACAGTGAAAAGGTGAAAAAGGTCAGATTGAAAAGGGTCGGATAACCATTATTTCAACCTCCGCCGTGCTGATGGTCTGAGTTTTCCGTCTCGTGATGGGTAGGGGGGGGGGGGCGTTTCGGCCTCCCTAAGATCTCGGAAATTTACCGGCCGATTTTCAAAATTCAAACGGCATTTGATAGCCCCGTCGGGGAACTACCTTATGACCGAATTTCATTGACCTAGGTCAAACCGATGACGTTACAGGTCAGGTTAAAGTTCAGATTTTCACCGTTCACAGGCATTTCAAGAAATGTGTTGTGAAATCCAGTAAATTGGTAAGTTATTGAAAACCATCGATGGTACATTGTTCGTCAAACACATACTTCGCTATTTGAGGTCACTGACACCAGGTCAGATCACAGAGGTCATGTCACTGGGGGTCACAATATGAAAGTGTCGTGTGATACATGTTTTATGGTCTATTTTACATGATAAATGCGATTATGTGGCTCAGGCAGCCTTTAGGGCCAGCTTAGGTCACGTTTTGGTGAAGGTCAGGTCCAGGTCCTCCCCGTGGCCTAGTGGATAAGGCGTCCGTCTCCTAACTCGGTGGCAGCGAGTTCGCGGCCGGGAAGCTCCACGTCGTTTGACCCGCGTTCCTATATTAAGCCAGCTGGCAACTGGCGAGAGAGGGCCACGCTAGACCCGGGAGGACCGTGCCGCCATCTACCTGCGGCACGTTAAACTTTCGATCCAAATTATCACCGGTGAACCGGGCGCGGGCAAGGTGGGGTGGTGGGTCCGTGGTGTCATTCGCAACAAGCACAGCTTAGCGGGGCACCCGGGCCCATAGCCACCCATTCATCCATTCGGACAAAAAAAAAATTAAAAAAGGTCAGGTCAAATTAGGTCAAATTTCAAAATTGATATTTTGCATAAAATGGCTGTCCATTCAATTTAGGCCAAACATTTCGAATTTGATGTCGTCTGTGTCATTCGAGGTCATTTTGAGTCAAATTGAGCTTAGGTCAGGTCACTTTCAGGTCAAAAAAGGTCAAATTTTGAAGTTGAAATTTTTCAACAAAAAAGGTGTCTATTGGATGCAGTTTGAGCTCAGGAACACGATGGTGCTATTTATATTGGCGTACGACGTCGAATTCGTGCTGAAAAATTGATTTGAAAAATTAATAATTGTTAATTTTTTGCAATAATGCGTATAACTTGGTCATTTTTGAAGATATTTGGCTAAAACTTGCTAGAGTTAGTCATAATAATGCATTCTATCACATATATTCCGGTTTTTTCGAAAAGTCAAAACGTTTTTGAAAAAAAATGTAAAAATATAAATTTTGAATATTATTATATAAAATTTTCGAAATTTTCAAAATTTCGAAAATCTGAGATAGCAGTTTGATAGCGCAGTCTATTCTGAGTCCTCTCATGCAAAGAAATTGGATCTAGCTTAAAAACTGAGCTCTTGGGAGCGATTGCCGTGGTTCAATGTTTTGCGTCGAAATCGGCCGAACATGACGTCACTCTGACGTCATTTCCGGCCGACCTATGGTAGGTACGAAGTTCAAATTTTGACACAAGGTGTCAAATTGATGCAGCCGAAGGTACTGAAAGTTTGGCGTCGATACGTCAAACGGTTTGGAAGTTATTGCAGAAAAACGGGAGGGGGGGCTATAAATAGCCCCCCCCAGTGGGGCGCGGGTTAAAATTTCAAAAATCCGAGGGAGCAATTTTGTATCTCTGTCAATTCTACACCTTTTATGTCCCGATCATTTTTCTGTGGCTTCAAAGCTGTAGGCCGGAGAGCTCTTATTGCGAAGGTCTTTTTTCGGTCGAAAATGGCAGAACATGACGTCATTCTGACGTCATTTGTGGCCAACCTATCATTGCCTCTGGAAAAATGTTTGGTCACAATGTGTAAAATTGATGTCTGGAGGGGTCCTGAAAGTTTGGTGGCGATATCTCCAGCCGTTTAGGAGATATCGACGGAAAAGGACAGGGGAGGCCGTTTCGCCCCCCCCCCCCCACGAGGCGCGGGTTATCGAATGCGCTTTTCTGCGGCGATGGAAATCTATTGGTTCCCCACTTAGGCATTGGGTTTTCGAAAAATAGGGAAATAGACCAAATTTAACCTTCTATGACCTCTGGTGACCTGAACTTTGACCTGACCTGAAAAATGACTGAAGTATTTCCGTCATTATTTTTTTTTTTACGCTTTTACGAATGCCGCTTACCGCGTGTGGCTGCGTGGCCCAGGAGCCGAGTTAGACGGGGGTGTTAAGACACTTCCGGGCCGGTGCGGTTGGCGCTAAGAACCGTTGCGGCGCGGATTAACCCTCGCCCGTATAGGGGGGGGGGTCGAACGGACCCCCCCCCATAGTATTTCGCGAATAACTCGCGTAAAAAGCTGCCGATCGCGATGAAACTTTCAGTGCCCTCGCGTTTATCAATTTTACACCTACCCTGCAAATTTCATGGCCCTGACCCAAATGACCTTTGACCTATGACCTACTTTTTGAGACCATGTTTGGCCGGAATCGCGATTCGGCGTATGTCGGCTCGCATTAGCCGCGCGTTTGCAGTCTTTTCGTGGTTTCAAGCGTTCAAACATGTGATATGATGTTGCCCCCATGCATTAGGGTGGGTGTCAAGGTCACCTGAAGGTCAGGTCAGGTCATTGACCTTTGATGACCTCGGTTCACTTTTTCGAGTTTTACATGTTTCTAGGCCAGTTTTTTTAGCTGAATTCGGATTAAGCAACCATATGAACATTTACGAAGTAGTTTTGGTGCCTTCGTAGCATGTTACGAAGCTGTCGGAGGCGGTTGACACCTACTAGGAATACCCGGCAGGACCCCTACTGTTTGACCTTACCTGGCCTGACCCGACCTGGACTAAATGCATGAAGACATCATCTGTGATCAAAACTTTTATGATATTCGTGATCAGCACCCCGAAAAATCCCATAGCAGCCAGACTTTACGACGTTCTAACAGGTCCCGATTTTCCCGACTTTTGGGTCATTGACATGACCTGCAAGGTCAACCGATGACCTGGGACCTTAAAATTGGATATCATCGGCTTCCTCCCGTCACGGGCAACACGTTCGTTTTTTTCCGCGAAGCTCTAGCTCGATCAGGGGCGAAACGGCAAGGGGATCCGTTCCAACGGACCCCCCCCCCCCTACGTACCATACTATACGGGCTTTGGAAGCAATCTAAGCATTGCGCTGGCAGTGGATGATATGGCTCTGTCGTTACCAAAAACTGACTAATTCAAACTCTTTTCTTGTGCATCGATTTTGGTCAGGTCTAGCTCGAGTCGGCTCACCCTTACTTGCCCAGCTCTGGGAACGGTCGTAGTCGTGACAGAGCTGTCCCTTCATAAATCAAAGGTTTATAAATGTAGGTTTCTGTTTTTAGTGTTTGCACCGAAGTGTGACTGTACAGTTAGATCCAACCATGGAAAAAAAGAACACGTACATCGGTAGCTGAGTGACACAAGGCTCGTATCTCCTCACTCTTGCTGCCCTCCCCTTTCAGTCTCGCTCTTCAAACTCACTGGTTCGCCTACATATCTATGCAATGTATTCAACAGCAGCAGCAGCAGCAGCATTGACAGCAGCAAAAGCAGGTGACACACCAGCACACTGGTTCATCACCTATCACCCGATCACCTAGGCCACACACCGGCCTGGTGAAGCGACACACCACACAGAACCAGTCCCAACAGACCTCCAACGCACACATGCAGCGCACCACTATTCACAGCAAAACAACGGCCGCGTATACATGCCGATCTTTGTACAAGCGGCACTTGAGATTCGTCTTGCCTAGGGCTATCCGCCGACGCAAAATACCTACAGTCTTCGAACAGTAACAGCATATCTTTATCGATATCCCCTCTCACACCTCTCCTATTCCCTCTGAGCGGCAATGGTGGGCACTGTCTCGTTTGCCGACTCTTGGCCATCTGATTTTTAAACACAGCATCTCGGAAGTCATAATAGGCTGCACAATTACTAAGCACATGCAATTAAACGCTGAACACTACAAATTTAATATATTTTTCGTTAACAAGTATTTTCTTGAGCAGACACTGCTTTTGGTAAGTTATCTCCACGAATGTAATTGTGGATGCATCATCTTTCTCTAAGTGGCAAGATGTGATATTTATATCACTTTGCTATCTACTATTTCACTCGCTGTACATCACAATGCAGTGTTCGGCAATAAACCCAAATAACTTACAGGGGTCGGGTGAGCACTGCGACTCAGCCGTCGGTCTCGACATACACTCCTCTCAATGACATCGTCCATCGGGGGAGACTCGTCCCGGTCTCGTCGGCACGCGGGGCCTCTCAGCGTCGCTATCTGTCAGATAGCGGGCCGAGCGGCGAGCGGCACTATCGGCGCGAGCGGCAGCCCATTCCACGCTCGGTTAGCCGGTATTCCCGATCTGCGCGGCCGTGCCGAGCCGATCAGCCGCGCTGTCACGGTCAGACACGGTGGAGACGAGCCACCGGGATCTGCCCGAGAGGAGTTCGTGGGCTCTGCAGACGGGTATCAACCCAGCTGGGCCCACAGCCGCGCCGCGCCCGGTGAGTGGCAGGGCTGTGTGCAGCCAGGCTCGCGCCGCCCCGCCATGTTCTGCCGGTATTTACACATCAATCACTGCACTAAGGCGCCGATCGCGCGCTGCGGCGGCGCCGCGGCGCGGTCGGCCGACGGGAGCGGCCGGCGCCCCTCGGAGGTCGGCCCGCTATAGTGAGGAGGTCTGCTGGGTGTGCTGGCCCGGTCCTCCCATCATCAGACCTCCACCGAACGCCGAGCCGCCGCCGAGCGCGCCGCTGAACGCTCCCGACGCGGCCGTCGGCGCGTTGCACGACTGAAGGTACATGAAGTAGTTGTAGTTCTGCGCGTCGTGCGATGTGGCCGGCGGTCCACCGTGGCCGCGCATCTGACCCCAGTGACCCAGCAGGTCGGACACCGAGTGAGCGCTGGGCCAGGGCGTGCGCGACGGCATGCCTGGCGACCCAGAGCCGCTCTTGGGCGGCATCGGAGAGACCGGTGCTGGTGCAGCGGCGGCGGCGGCTGCGGCAGCGTGCGCCTGGTACGGGTAGTGCGGGTACATGGCCGCGACGGAGGGATATACAGGTGACTGGTGCGGCTTCAGGTCGTAGTGCGTAGCGCCCTGCAGGTGCTGCAGTGTGCCGATCTTGTTCCGGAGGATACGAGAGATGGATGAGACGGAGGGCAGGTTGAACTTGTCACAGATGCCGTCTTGAAGGAGGTGATCGCGAATCTCCCACGCAAACATCCCCGGGTCCTTCTGCTTCAGCTCTTTGATGTAGGCCGTCACCTTGGGGGTGGTGACGCGCGGCTTGCTGCCACCGATGGCTCCTGGCAGGATGCTGCCCGTCTCGTTGTAGCGCGCCAGGATCTTTGAGACGCAGCCGTGGCTGACGCGTAGCTGGCGGGAGATGTCGCACGGACGGATGCCGAGCTGGGCCAGCTCGATGATCCGCAGGCGGATGTGATTCGGCAGCGGCCGGCCGTTGACGAACATGCCGCCCAGCTGGTTCACCTCGCCGTACTGCTGGATGTTCGGGTCTGGAACAAAGAGAGAACGAAACGTCAGCGGGTCTGGCATTAGAAGCCTGGCGGAAGGCAGAGGGGACACGATGTACCAGAAACGGGACAATAATGTGCGCACTCATTCTGGGATTTCCTGTGTTTGAATTACAAAGAGCTACATCGTAGAAATCCAGTACACGGCTGCGCAGATTAATGCATGGTTATTTATTCAGGCAACACATGTCTGTTAACTTCCATGTCAGTCCCAGGCAAGGATACCGATCTTGCTGATGAGAGAATTTAGGATATGTATGAGAACATAAGTAAACACAACGGTAGTGCGGTGAAATAAGTTGACGGCCGTCTATAGAATTGAGCATTACGCCTCAAGGTCACAGAAAAATCGCATGTATTGAGCATCTTGTTTTCTCTAAGCACTGCAACTCAAATACACATCAGCAGCGACAGCTATGCTGTTCGATATGTGAAAGAAGTAACAGGGCGGTCGAGCGGCACGCTCCTGTGAAGTAGACGCCACCCGCTGACCGTCTGCCCGTCCGTCCGTCCATCCGTCCGTCCGTCTGTCCATCTGTCCATCGGCCGGCACCGACCGTGCAGGCCGCGTCACTGTCTCACAGCGGGTGCTGACAGGTCGACAGGTCGGTTCGGGCGGGAAGTTTCTACAGTCGGACCGCCCATCTCCGCCACTCTGGTTCGTTGCAGACGATGACAAGAGGTGTCCGACCGGCCGGCGCCCGCCGCGCTGGAGGCGGTCGTCCAAGGAAGGGGTGTGCTTCAAGGCACGTATCACCTATTGTTCTACACTCTACAACTTCCCTGGGCAGACTGTGACCGCTGTGAATGGTCTTTCACCGCTGATGATGGTCTGTGAACGGGTTGTGAACTGTCTGCTGCCGCTTAGGACGATCCGTGGCTACTGTGGCGGCACGATGTGACCACTGTGAAGTGGTCGCTCTATGACCACTTGAGACCAAATGTAGACGCCATGGGTTGTCTTAGCCTGTGGCCACTGTGGGCAGGCGCTGACCGCTTTGAACGACTGCGACCGCCCCTGCCAGACGCCGCGATACCCCGTGCCCAGCCACGACCACGGCGCTCGGCCAGGGCCATATCCGGAGGTCATATCCGGCCGAGTGGCACTTGGAAACGCGCCGGTTATGACCGTGCAGAGGCCGGCCGGACCCTCACCGGAGCGGAGGGTCACTGGCGGGTACAGCGCACCGAGGGGTGGATAGGGGCCAACACAGCAGCGGGAGCAGGCTTAGCAAAGACCAGCACCAGGGGAAGACAACTCACTAGTGGATGCATTGAATGGCACTGGTAAGTCGTCATCCCCTTGTACTTGACGTAACTCAATAGAAGGACCAATCCCGACCTCACCCAGGAATATGCGTTTTCATTGTTTCATACCGTCCTGCCTGACTCAGCAGTCCTATTGCAAAACCCTTCGGGGGCGGGTCGACTGATGTGCCGCACCACGGCCTGTTTCAAGAACAGACTGCGCCGCCGGGCGGAAGCAGCACAGTCTGTTGCCCATGCATGGCACGTGCATATGTGTACGGGCCGGTGTTTATTTGGACTTCTCCAGCCCGGCAAATACGTAACGGTGTAGTAGGCTGACTCAGACACCGCTGCTGGACAAACCCGGAGTCGTAACCGAGTAATTGTTACCACTTTATTTGTTAGCTGGAGAAATTGCACTGGAAGGTACTGATGTAGCGCAGAGCACCATAGCAGTGCTTTCAGTAAAGCACTGAGAAGTAATGAAAGTCAAAGCCATTTTGCATGCGTAGCACACGAAACAAACCTTTTGAATATTATCTTGATGCTTCGGCTTTTAGAATAACTTCTGTTGAGCGTAACAAATAATCGTAAAATTTACATGAGACGATAAAGATAGCAGTGCCATTTTATCGAGAGCGTTACATCAATGCAGGCATGGAGTGATATCGATATTTCATCGCACAAAAGTCGAATTGCAACTGTTTTGACGCAAAGCCCGAGCATTGCCATGCCTTCTTCTGCACACCGCAGCAATAACCTTTCATGCTAAGCAGATGTATGCTACCACTGACTAATCGTCATTGACAGATCTAAGGCCGCTTTTCAGTTGTCTCTTGACATCAGCTGTCTTGAACGGGAGAGCTCAATGACCAGTCCACCTCAATGAACTGCTCAATGACCAGTCCAGCTAAGTGCCCCGTTCAATGACTAATACCCGCCTCCCGCTCATAGATACCCTATACGTGTGGTGAGCGGTGACGTGTGCCCTGATATCGGGTGACGCGACGCGCCGGTGCCGGCCACTGCCGCGTCTGTCTGGGGCCGGAGCCGCCGTCTCTGGGCGCTGTTTACCCCGCGGAGACACGGTCCGGCAACTCTCCGTTGTTTATAGCAGCGGTGGCGCACAACCGCTGCCGCTGCCTGCACAGAGATCGAGCTGCACTGCCGGGTCGCGGGCGCCAGCCTGCACTGCGGGGGCTGCACTGCCGGGCTGGGTGTATACCGCCGGACCGCCAGGCGCCAGCGCTGGTCGCGGGCAGACGGCGGGCGCCAAAGCAGTATCTTTGGGAGACGGGAGGCGACGGTGCTGTTACTCGTAATGGTGACCGTGCATTGAGTCAACTTAGTACCTACAGTCTGTCTAGTGTCTGCCCAGCCAAACCCATCCAAACAATATATATGCTGCAATATCGGCACCGACGGAATAAACTGCCGGTCGGGAAAAATAGTTCAACTGCGTAAATCAGAACAAATCAGGTCAGACTGAGATGTCTCACAAATTTTTCATTCCCGATTACTGATGCTGAAGATACGTGCAAATCTCGTCAAACATCACACACGCCAGCACATCAAACACCAGTGACTGCGCCCGCTAAGTATCTTAGCGGTTCGCTGTGTCTGTGCGCGTGCTGCGGTCGGCGGCGGCGGGGGCGGGGGCGGGGGGCGGTGGCGGGGGCGGGGGCGGGGGCGGCGGTGACCACAAAGGCGGCACGCCGTACCATTCATCGTGCGCTCGCTCTGCGTCCTGTCCGGGCCTGACGCCGGTGGTAAATATTGCAGCGCACCCCGTGATGGACGCGATAGTGGGCGACGGCACCGGCACGGCGCCGCCGACATACTACCGCTGCTAGGGACCTGCTTCTGCTGCTGCCAGAGACCCACAGATGCCACGGGGAGACCCCTACTGCTCGTGGAGACCCAGATTCCCTCTGTAGGGACCCACTTCTGCCAGCATACTTGTAGACCACTCAGAAACTTCTGCCGTTAAAACTCCACTGCTGCAGTTAGTCCGATATCACGCTCCCAGAGATTCACTGCTACAACCCATTGCTGCTGGAGCCCTGTTTTGGTGCGTTCCTCAAATTACCTTTCAGATCTTCCTCAATAAGATTATTATTATTGTTACTTATGGCAGGCCTCGGTAACCTTGTCAGCACCTAGCATGTGCTCGTGCGTATGGTCCGTGTGAATGAGCTTGCCTTATCCGCAACAACCCCCCATAGAGCGGTACGATCTGAACGTTCTCAGCCGTGTCAATGTTCACATGCACGCTCCGTGTGGGCGCCCGAGGGCGGAACGGCTCAGATAGGCTGACATGTGACCGTGAAGAGTCGGCACGAGCGACCGGCCCAAACGCACTCCCGTGCGGCCCACTGCGCGGCTATCACGATCTGTGATTGAAAGTGTCATCAGATATCAAGCATCAAATTGGGTGAGACTGGCTTGTTAGTAATATCTTGCAGACAGATTGCAGCAGCTGGGTCTGGTTAATGTTAAGCCCGCTTAACCAAATATAGAGGCTTTGATGAAAAGCCGACGCTTTCATCACAAGCATGACTTCAAAGATCGCGACGCACAGCCGAGAAACAGCCAACATGCTCGGCGAGCGAGGAGGTCACGTATTCATGCGTTTTTCATCAGAAACATCGAAGGCGGCGGTTTTATTCCACTGCGATTGTTTAAAAGAAGTCGCCATCGAACAACGCACCTTTGTTTGAAGCCAAGCAAGTAAGTGAATAAAACAGCTGTCTCTGATAATGCTCTGTTCTGCACTGGTCCGTTGTCTGATGTCCCGAGTGTCCGTGACCGAGTGTCAGCTGTGTCCGCTGTGTTGATGTGTCCGTTGTGTGTCCGTGTGTTTGAGACTCGGACAGCCCGCCTGTCGGACACCGTGCCGGCTGTGGTCAGAGTAAACAGGCGGCCGGTATTCGGCAGGAATGTGTCGATCGACTGGCGGCGTCCCCTTGACACCGGCACCGAATGCCAGCGGCCGCGGGCCCTCAGCGTTTGTGTACTGTTCACTCGGACACGGCGGCACGTGGGCGTAAACGGGCGGCGGACGGACAGCGCCCGAGCTGCCGACCGGCCAGCGGCTCAGGAGGTCGGAGTGCCGTAGTAGGCGGCCCAGCTGGAGTGTTGTAACGGAGATATCAGGGTAAATCTTTCATAGGGGTTAGCGAATCCATTCGAGAAAAAAAAAGACGCTCGAGAAGACGCTAAGCTTGACGGAGAAGGTGGTCCCTCCAGAGTAGCGCTTGTGTGTCACTGTGTCAGTCGACAGTCGGAAAGCCTTGATAGTTGGTGAAAGGCTGCCATGATGCTGATTGCTGATAGCCTTCTTATAACATAATGCGCAAAAATAACAGACATAACAAACGTCGGGTGATGGGAGGCTCAGCAAATGTGTGAAACCAATCAACTACAAGCATGGATGCCTTGAGGTTACTCAACCCAGACAAGCCTCATAATATACACAGTTAGCCCTGTGTAACACATTAGTCCCCCAAGAGACCCGCTGTATACTGCATATGCAGGCGAACGATTCCGGGTGCGAAGTCACTGGCCGAATGTCGGTCCAGCTGCGATGTTCTGAATGCCCGGGAGAAACCAGTTCCGCGTTACTTTAACATGTGGTGGCTAGGCCCCGAGAGAGCGACCTGTACTTTGGAGCTTTTGGGATGCATGGAGCACCCGGTTGAAATCTCTGTGCAACATGTAGTCCGCAGGGGGTG